GCCAGGCGCTCAGCGTGCCATGCCATAGAGGCCAAAAGGTGCCCATACCCCGAGCTCCATTGGCATGTGTGTGATGTTGTTGTTGTTGTTGGTCTTGCTGTTGTCGTTGTTGTTGTTTTGTGGCGCCAAGTAATTTCTGTGTTAGCGTTAGATTTCAGCCATGTGCAGACAACGAACACCACACAAATGGCAAGCACAGCAGTTATTAGTTTTAAACTCAGCACAGTGAGGCAAAGCATAGAAATTTATCTAAAATATAATCTACGACTAAACAAAAAATAAATACCAACAACAATTTCAATCGATACATTTCATATTTTGTTCATTGAATGTAAATAAGTTCGGATTTAATTTAATATATCATTTTATTTATTTAATTCACAACTTTATATATATTTTTGGTATTCTAAAATAAAAACAAAACCTAACAAAAAACAAAATCTTAAAATCTATAAATGCATTATTTATTAAATTTTTTTAAATTATATAAAATGTTAATTATTTGATAAATAAAAAGATTTTTAATTACAAACTATGTCAAGTAATTCGATTGAAACAGTTATATTTAAAGTAATTGTAACTATGATATTTTTTATTTTTTGCACATTTAAAAACAAATTTATATAGTCATTTTGCATATTTGCATTAAATTTCTCTTTTTAAATTTATAAAGTTAGTTAATTAGAAATCCAATTTTAGCTCTTTAGCCACTGTGCACAAATGTGAATCACTTTGCTAGCTGCACCACTGTGGCCACCATCGTGGTGACATTTGTTCATTAAGCATATTAAATAATTAGTACTTGTTGTTGTCATATTTTATGTGCTTGTTGCTTGTTGAGCAGCTGAGCCCGCTGAGAGGCTTGGCAAATGAACAGCTAAAGCAGAGACAAGGACCAGTTTTCAATAGCCTCAACTCAAGTGTTGGCCTTTCGCATTTAGTCATATAAAATATATGGACAAAAATGTGTTTTAATTGAATGGCCATTGACGTGTTTAGCTGAAGAGCTGACCGATAGTACTTTAAGCCAAGGCAACGTCGAACTTCATTTCGTAATGTGAACCAAATTTGTGATTTACCAACTATTTTTAATTGAGTAAACACAATTAGATGACTTTGTTAATATACATATAATTTTGTTAAATGAATATTTAATTATTTATATGGAAAAAAATGAAATAAAAAAATAAATTCAAATCAAATTTGAATATTGAAATGTAAATGCTGAAGAGAAAATTATCCAACTGTCAAGAGTTTTAGCTTGGCTTGCAATGAACTGCAGTGAACCGAATCTGTGAAAGCAACTCTATTTATAACAGTTTGCAAGAGTTTATACTTTATTCTGTCGTTCTTTGGGAATTTTTTTCTAAATGCAAAGATGGTTTGAATGGACTTCTTGGGTTTGACCTTTCCACCATCCTCCATGTCCATGTTGATGCATTTGGAGGAGGAAGGCCATGTCGTCAGCATAGGTGGCGGAAAGTTATCTAGCATACGATATGATTGGCATGTTAGCCCTGTATAGGGCATATGAAACTAGTACTAGTCCTTGAGGAAATCAGAGTCTGACATCTCTTATGTTGAATCTTTCATCGCCACCCTTCACATAAAAGTTTCTTAGCAGACTGTAATGACTTCATAGGCTATAAATATGAGCAGAATCATTATCCGGTACAGCAATCAGAGTGTCAATATGATAGTCAAAAATTTTTTAAATACAAGAAACTAATATGCAGCTTAGATAAAAACTATATGCACTTTGCATAATTGTGATTAATATAAAACCACATCTTTAGGTTAAATGACTTAAAGCTTAGCATACAATAGTCATTTCAAAGTCAAATCACTTAACGCTCGAAAAGAAGTTAACTTTGCTGAACCGTCTTATCAGTACAATAACAATTATGAATGTGATTTCTTTTCGAATTTGAAAATAGTAAAAGTTGAGCATATGTTGGCGATAGCCCTTAAAGGTTAATCCCAGCCCATTAGTATGGACTGATAAATAAATATTTGTGGCTGTAAGTGACAAAGAACTGATGTAAATTTATGCAAATTGCATGCTGTGTTGCCCAATAAGCCATTTGACACTTTTGTCCACACGCGGCTGATTTGATTATTAATTATTTATTGTCTAACTATTGTGAATTATGGAAAGCAAATGACCAAAAAGCTCTCAAATGGAGTCGAACTCCCAAGTCTGGCCAGCTGAAGTGTCTCGGCTGTGCCGCTTGGCCTATTCCTTTGCTCAGTTTTGGACACGTTCGCTGCGAACCAGTTGAGCGACATTCCATTTGAGGCGCGACAGGCGGCGTCCATTTGGGAGATGCTAAGATTAATCAGCTGCCATAAGCCAAATGACAAGACATATATATGTACATATGTATACAGTATGTATAGTTGATTTTTGGACTTGTTGCCTCAAATGCCTAGTGTTATTATTGTTATAATGTTTATTTATGGCATAGCTGGAAAAAAAAATTAATTTCAAATTTGATTACAATAAAAATAAAGCCACACACATACACACACTCACGCACTCAGCTCAGATCCGAAATCGAGCCACTTGTAAGCAGCGTTTGATTTACGTGCCCCGAAAACTGACTCTAGGTAGGCAAATGAAAGATCGACCCATCACACAATTGCCCCAAACTTTGTAGGTGTGTGTAGATGAGTGTTTGTGGGCACCGTGACGGGCCCAACCCAACAAATTCCAAACAATAATAAAGAAGATTTAGCCAGAGCCAGCAGCAACAACAACAAATTCCGAAATAAATTTATTGTTTTCTATTTAGATAGTTGTTGTATCTATTCGTATGGATGAAAATTATGCAAAGCTGCCTGAAAACAAACAAATATTATAGGCAGGCGGGACTAAAGTGGCGCATGGTTATGTTTATGATTGTTCCCCTGTTCTATTTGCCGAATTGGGTTACTTTCAACATCATTTCTTTAAGGTCTTAGGTTACACCAACAACAAATACAACAACAAAACAAACAATGCCAGCCAGCAACAGCAGCAACAACAGCCGACTTTCAGGCCAGGCCAGGCTAAGCTGCAGATGGCCACGGACTAACATTAGAACAGCCCACGCCTGGCTCATGATTAGAGTTTCCAATGTTCCACGAGGCACTCCAAACTGGTTTCATGCCAAAAAGAAAAAATCGATGTATATATTTTTAAGCCGTGGCCTATGAATGAAGCTGGCGGGGGAAATATAGTATATGACAGCATACGTGTGTCCATAAAATCCAGCGGACAACAACCAAGAAAAAAAATCAACTGAATAATTGGTTAGAGGCGTGGGCGACCTGCTTATTAATTGTTAAATTGTTAACAATTTCAGCTACACAGAAATATACATATAAATATATTTGGCGCCGTATTTAAATAGCTAATCATGTTAACCAAAATCTCAATGCTCTATGCTCTCAGACGTGGGCAGAAATTGGCTAGACTTCGGCTATCAATTATCGTAAAGGTCAAATGCAGTGCACTCCCCAAAAAAACAAGAATATAAATATATGTATAGTTGAAGGCTCATACGCATACAAATATCTCAGTGCAGATTGCCAATTGGAGTCGTAGAAAATCCACTTTGAGCTGCCCACACAGTCGCTGCACAATCCATTCCCATGGCCAATGAAGCTCAGGCTAAATATAATTTATATACATTTTTTCATTTTTGTTAAGATTTTTTTTTTTTTTTGACCCAAATATTATTCTGCTATTGCAACCAATGCACAAAGATGATTCACGTACAAAAAAAAAATATAAAATTTAATAATCGTTCAAATTGAATTTGTTTATATTTATAAATCAATATTTAATTAATTCATTTCAAGGACTAATTTCTCTTTTCAATTTTTTTCAAATACAAAATTTCAAAAATTCAAAAAAGTTATACACATATTATAAAATTTAATTTAATGTAAGAAATATGCATATATAGTAAATATTGCTCTGGACTCACTGAATCACACTCTATCAGGTTTTTCAATGATCCAAAGTTATTTATTTATTTTTTTTTTTTTTTTTTTTAACGTGYTGTCTCTTATGTGACTTATAGTTTAATTTTTAAACCGATATTATCTATTTATTTGACTAATTTTTATAACGAAGTAATGCTTGATCTTAAACTAATTATTCTTTGTTTTGGACTACCGCAAAATTAACTCAGAGTCAACATATTTTATATAATCTGAACCGATGTTAATGCATTTTTTTACCTTTTTTATGATGATTGCCCGTCAATGAAATATTTGTTAAATTTTAAATGACAAATGGTGTACAAATTCTTAAACATTAGCTAACGTGTTCAATTAATAAATATTTATTTATTTTTGTATTTCTGTACTGCTGGCTTGGGTTGTCCAAGTGGCCTCGTCAACAAATGAGAGTCCGGGTCCACAAGCTAAAGAGCTTGTGCATAAATCTTGAGTTGTTTTGGAAGCTATTCGCAATAATTACTGATTGAAAAGATTGTCTACATGATAGAATGTTTTCGATAGTATGAAAAATACCTTAACATTAATTTTAGGTATTTCATTTATTTTTATTGATTGGAAAAATAAATAAACTAATAACTCAACCGTTTGTAAAATAAGCAAAAACCACTATTCCGAATGCTTTGCAACTTTCCAAATAGATTTGGCTTAATATTGTGTATAAATATTTTTATACACGTTTAAAACATTTGAGTTAATAATCTTTTAGATTCAATAAAAACAAATAACTGATATATAATATATTCAAGATATTTACATGTTTTAAACATATTTAAAAGTATTTTATTTTGTTGACATTCATTTTTATCAGCCTTACGCTTTGCAAGTATGGAACCTAATATAAATTTTCTATAACAGTGCACAATTCTTCCATATACACAGTTTTCAATATATGTAAAAATTGTTTAAACAAAAAAATTTTTATGAATCACATTATTACTTAAAAATTCCCTAAATAAAATAATTAACTTGATATTTCTGTATCCTTGCAGACTTTCAGCTCCAAAGCGAAGCTCACAGTATAAAACAAAATTAATATCATAATAATAAAATAAAATGTCACACAAGACGGGCACGCGACGTGCCACAGATCTGGAGTGTCCACTGGCGTCGCTTGGTCGGACCAGCAATGCGGTGCGAGATCAATTGGCGGCGGCGCATTACCATCATCCGCATCCTTTGAGCTCCAGCCCGCTGGATCCGCAAGCCTATAAGATGTCACGAAAGTCGCCAACCCTCGGTCTCAACATCAACGATGCCGCAGCCACTGCCGACCTCTATCCACGTGGCTCACGCAGCTCCACGCCGCACAGCGACCAGCAGACACCAGCGACGACGGCCACGACGGCAGCCGTGCTGCATATGGTGCAGCAGAAGGCGGCCACATTCGAGCTGCGGGGCCGGCACACGCGACAGGAGCAGTCTTCGTCCAGCTATGGCACCCACTCCACTGCCTCTGTGGGCAGGCATGCGCAGCTGAAGAAGTCGCCGGAGCTGCAAACGCTGCCCGCACCAGCGACCAGATCCATAGCTCCAGTGCCGCAGCCGCGCAACTTTCTGACGCTGGACTGGCTGCATGGCAACAGCGCCGATACCGAAGACTCCAGCGACAACAATGTGGGCGGTGGCGGCGGCAGCAGAAGGCGTGGCCAAGCCCAAGGCGGACGCTGCAGCGTACCCACGGTGCTGAGCAATGGCAACGACAGTGCCCAATATCTGCTGGGCAAGAAGATGGAGTCCCTGTATCTGGGCAACGCATTACGAGCTCTGCCGCTGGGTGCCGAGGCGAGTCAGTACCAAAACGAGCGCTACTACCTGGAGGACTACAGCAGCGGGAGTGGCAACGAGCGATTACCAGGTGAGAGAGATAACAACTGAAATAAGTTATAAAACTTATTAATTAGTTGATTAGTTGATGATTTACTATTGCAATTTTATTATTTAATGTTCATTTACACGCTATTTATTCCTTTTGTTTACGGCTGTTATCATTATCATTCCATTCCAAGCAAAGATTTAACAGAGTTTTAATACGTTGTTTCTATCATTATAGAACGTCTGCATCATCCGCGCAACTCCAGTCCCAGCGAAACGAGCGGCTCGGATCGCTATCTGCTGAATCGCAGCACAAATTCGCCCGCCAATGCCTTCCAGCTGGACCACCATCACACCAAAGTGCAAAGCCTCTCCGATGGACTGTGCAATATGGGTCGCTTTTCGCCCAGCCTGGATCAAGGCTACGCCACGCTGGTGTCGCCATCGCCCACTGGCCACCATCCGAGCAGCACGGCGGGCATTGTGGTTAACAGCAATTCAAAGAATAGCAGCCCAAACGTTGTTGGCGGCGGCGTCATTGCCAGCAGCACGCCAACAACAACTCCGCGCCGTGGACTGACCAACAGCAACAACGGTACGGTTAATGGCACAGCTATTGGACCGCCGCCCTGGAACCGGAAGGGTCCCTATCGCTGTGGCCCCTTCTTTGACCGCCTGCCCGACGAGGTCGTAGTCCGCATTTTCAGCTGGCTCGATAGCTGCGAGCTGTGCAATGTGGCGCGCGTCTGTCGCCGCTTTGAGCAGCTCGCCTGGCGACCTGTGCTCTGGAAGTGCATCACGCTGCGCGGCGAGCATCTCAATGGTGACAAGACGCTGAAGATGATCTTCCGCCAGCTGTGCGGACAGAGCTGCAACGGCGCCTGCCCAGAGGTTGAGCGCGTCATGCTTGCCGATGGCTGTCGCATCTCAGACAAGGGTCTGCAGCTGCTGACGCGTCGATGTCCAGAGCTAACGCATCTGCAGCTGCAGACCTGTGTCGGCGTGTCCAATCAGGCGCTGGTCGAAGCGCTCACCAAATGCAGCAATCTACAGCATCTGGATGTGACAGGTAAGTTGGCAATTTTTATTTCCGACTGCGAGAGTGAAACTCATATAATTGATTACCTTTTCGCTCGCAGGCTGCAGTCAGGTGAGCAGCATCAGTCCAAATCCTCATGTGGAACCACCACGTCGCTTGCTCCTACAATATCTGGACCTAACCGATTGCATGGCCATCGATGACATGGGCCTCAAGATCGTGGTCAAGAACTGTCCGCAGCTGGTATATTTATATCTGCGACGCTGCATTCAAATTACTGGTAATTTGCTAGAGCTGTAGTCAAAATGAACTTAATTAACTTACCTCACTCCCATTTCCATGACAGATGCGGGTCTGAAGTTTGTGCCAAGCTTTTGTGTTTCGCTAAAGGAACTGAGCGTCTCGGATTGCGTCAATATCACGGACTTCGGCCTGTACGAGCTGGCCAAGCTGGGCGCCGCCTTGCGCTATCTCTCTGTGGCCAAGTGTGAGCGCGTCTCGGATGCGGGCCTGAAGGTCATTGCTCGGCGCTGCTACAAGCTGCGCTATTTAAATGCGCGCGGCTGCGAGGCAGTCAGCGACGACTCCATTACAGTGCTGGCTCGCTCCTGTCCGCGCCTGCGTGCCCTAGACATAGGCAAGTGCGATGTGAGCGATGCGGGTCTGCGCGCCCTTGCCGAGAGCTGCCCGAACCTGAAGAAGCTCAGCCTACGCAATTGTGATATGATAACGGATCGTGGCGTCCAATGCATTGCCTACTATTGCCGCGGCCTGCAGCAGCTGAACATACAGGACTGCCAGATATCTATCGAGGGCTATCGGGCGGTCAAAAAGTACTGCAAACGCTGCATCATCGAGCACACCAATCCGGGTTTCTGTTGAGCACACGGACGCTGGAACGTTAAAGCAAAGAGGCAGGCCATATGAGCTAAGATGTTCTAAACAATGAATGCAAACACAAATTATTAGCTGTTAATGATTGTAGCTCGTTACTGTAAATACTTACTTAAGATTACTACAGATTGTACATATTGCTGGAGAGGATTAGCCTAGGCCCATAGAGCATTTGCTAGCATTTAAGTAGCGCGCCTTCTAGACTAATTCTTGCATAATAAATTATTTCATATAAACCCCTAATTATATATGTTTAGCATTATTCTCGGCACTTTTCTTAATATATAAGGCGTACGTCCCTTTTTTGGTTCTCCTGCTTGTTTCACGTGACCATTGTGGACTTCACATCAAAGTTCCCTAGGCGCTGCAGCCAATTGCGCACAAGAGAGGGCATGATTTTTCGTCTTCTTCCTCGGCTCTTTCTTAAATATTCCAGGATCTTCCACAAATCTTGTATGTCATTGATAACTTGGCGCGTCTCCCCATTGATGCGTTTCAGTTCTTGCTGGTGCCTGACCATCCGCTTCAAGCTGCTTCCATGCAAACTCTGCAAATGTTGCATCCGCTGATGTACGTTTTCCGAAAATGTTGGCAGGTCCCCCAGCAGCTCCATTAATCTGATTCGATCCCATAACGTATCGGCAATGGGCAGCATTGAGTGCAATTTGCGGAGTTTTGCCTTATGCTTGGCACTCAGCTTTACTTCCGGTAAGGACAATAAATTTTCTACTTTTTGGCGCACGTCATGAATTTTCTTGATCTTCTCCCCATACTGCTGGCTCTCTAAAGCAATATTATATTTTGTGTCCGTGTGCTTGCAAATTAGCCAGTGAATCTGGTGTACTAGACGCTTAACTTTCTTCTGGTCCCGGCGATACTGATGGGCGAAGTGACTAAAGTCCCTTTTCCATTGCCGCTTTCTTGATTTAACCATTTTATTAAATTGACAAGTTTTGGAAACCTAATCAAAATGTTGAACAATTTAAATTTAGAATAAATGCTATCGAGGAACTTTTACCGACAGTGTATCGATAGCTCCAATCTGCAGAAATATTTGAATCTTTATTGCGGCAAACGGTCACACTCAACAATAATGCTACCCATCACTCTGCGAACAGCTGTTTCTCGATTGCTCTGCGTGCCTAGTCTGCTTGGAGGTTAGATACGTTGTATAATGTCAAGCACGTAAATTGATTTGAGCTTGTTTTTTTTTAGTGTATCCCTAAATTCAAGTACGAGTTTTACCTAAATATTATTTTAACCGAAGCACACATGGCGAAGTATATCGCTCAAATTATTGTGCTGGGTGGCCAGGCCATCGGACGTGCTTTTGCAAAGGCACTGAAGCAAGAAATCGCCGCATCGCAAGAAGCTGCTAGACGCGCCGGTGGTGGTCGGAAAGGAGATCAAAGTGCTGAATCAAATTTGCGTACAGGTGGATGCAGCAATTAATTCATAATATTGTGAAGTTGTTGACTAACCACATTGTCCATAGGTATGACGCTGGAGGAGGCCAAGCAAATCTTGAACATTGACGACCTCAAGAGCGTGGATAGCATCAATAAAAATTTTGAACATCTGTTTAACGTCAACGATCGAGCAAAGGGCGGCTCATTTTATTTACAATCTAAAGTCTTCCGTGCCAAGGAGCGTCTGGACCAGGAACTTAAGGCGCAGCAACAACATCAGAAGACAGGTGAACAGGAGGCGGAGGAAGCGCCGCAAAGCAGAGCAAGACAAAGACGTTAACAAATTGTTGTGTTTTCTACCTCAAAACGACGCGAGATTTAGTTTATAATTAGATTTTAAGTAGTTGTTCATATAATGTTTTTCGCTTGTAAATATACGAAATAATTATTTTGCACATTTCAAATGTTTGTAATCAGCTGGCTGTGATCAGACGACAACCCTGTCTTATGGCAACGCTAAGTTGGCTGCGTGGAACAGCTGGTGCTTGGCAGCACTGGAGTGCTTACAAAGAAAAGATAAAAATTCAATGCTACGCAGATGTATTGTTGTCACAGAGTATTTAGTTTTTTATGTGTACAATCAGACGTGTCGATTGTTTGTTTAATTGACGCAGTCTAACAAGTCAATACGCTAACGACGCAAAACAGCTGGCACATGCGCGAAAATACACAGAAATTCCAGCACAAAGCAAACGAGGAAATCAACCACCAGCAACGTCGACGACGACGATTTTCCACAGAGAAGGTGTCTTTTGGAGCATCGCTCTAGGAGCTCTAACATTGCTGCATGTGAGAGACTAAGAACGCGAGAGAGGAGAGGGGAAAGAGAGTACGCGCCAGACAACGGTATTAGTGCAAAGAAAATTCCGCTGTTCAGTCAGTTTTCAGAGGACCTTCGACACAGGCAGGCGAAAATTCGAGTTTTGCTCGCTCTACCAAGCAGACAACAGTTAAAAAACAAACTCAATGAAGTGGTAATTTAGAACGTTACGTTATATAGCAAAAAGTCGAAGGCGTGAAGCGTAAACAAATATCGATTAAACGCGACATTTTCATAGTGCCAATCATTTGACAGTTAAAGCTCAGTGTACTATAATCAGTTGCAATTAATTTGCCTATTTATTGATTTTCCTCGCTTCTGGCAAATGCTTAATTCGCATTCTAGTTAATTTTTATTGTTTCTCATTATTCAATTTGCAGCGTGCTAACATAAATAACGGTAAAAGAGTACAAAATTTACATAACTTACCCATTGAAAGTGAAACTACATTGATGCTAAAGAAAAACCTATTACAAAATTCCTGCCAAGTGTAATAAAAGTTAAACGAAGGAAGGAGACAAAGTAGCTGCGGGACAGAGCAGCGACGTTTGCAGACCACGACCAGAGAGCCAATTGTATTGAGCAAGGGGCAGCCTGCGAGAGAGTGATAGGCAGAGAAAGAGAGAGCGAGAGAGCCACAAAGAGAGTGTACCAAAAGTATCAACACCACCCACAAACGAGGCGCCCASTTTGCGGACGTTTGCACGTTTCTGCCTTCTGAGTCTTCGTCTCTTCGCCTTCGGCTTCAACGTCTTCGACTTCGGTTGTGTGTAGCATTCGTTTTGTGTATACACGAGGACGCTAGGCTAATCCTTTCGAGCGCTTCGCTGGCTAAACGCACACAAAACAGAACAGAGCAATAAAGCCAAACATGTTTTCGGGTTTAACAAATCAATTCACCTCGCTGGTGGGCGCAGTCAAGGGCGGCGCTGGCGATGAGGATGTCCCAGTGCCCACAGGCGATGCTGCCGCTGGCGCTGCGACCACATCAACTGCGGAGGCAGTTGCCACATCAGCGGAACAGGATGCTGCAGCCGCTGCCGGCGGCGAGCAACTGCTCGAGGGCGAGGAGGGTGCCAAAAGGTAAGTCAACTTGCTTGCTCTCAATATGGTTCGATCAAAATGACAAAATGATTTGCTCTCTTGCCACTTTCCACAACCGATAAGAGATTTACGTGTGTTTATCTCTTGGCAGTTGCCACTCAAGGCCAATTCCCGTTATCTGACAACTGCACATGCCTTGAAAGTCTCTAACATATTGGCATTTCACACCAGCGTCGCTATGCCTCCAGCCTGAGACCCACTTGCAACGCTTTCCTTTCCTTTGGTTTTTATGGCGTGCCGAATCGACCTTGCAGTTTCTGGCTTTTAGCATTTTGGCCAATCCTTTGGGCTGCTCGATTACCCATATTTCCTTGTTGGATTTTGCTCCTGCATATTTCATTGCAATTTGCCTTCCGTGACTGAACATAATTGCTTTAACTGCAAACGAATAGCTGATAATTTTGTTATGCATGTATATGTACATATATCTATATATATCGTATCGTGATAGAAGTTGATTTATTGTTAGGTTCCTCAATTGTGATGACTCTAAATGCCAACTGGTTGTGTTGCTTAATTCGAGCATATCTAAAATGAGATTATTTATTGAATGAAGATGAAAATGTCTTTTAGTTTCTGTAAACTTCTATTCAAGCTGTTCCCCAATATAAATCAACATTTTCAATGTCATGTAAAGATTCATTTGGGAAGTAAGCGATTCCCTATGGACCATATGCCATATTAATTTGCCTTAGACTGCTTAGTAAACAAAAAACTTGAAGGCGTAGAATTATATATATTATATAGATATCGATATGAATATCTCCGACTTGAACATATTGTAAGCAGGACGTTCAACTTATCTTGCAATTATCTATTTAAATTTAAAGCGCTTCGAATTTGTATTCATCTCCTTATAACATTGTTTGTTTTTTCTCTCCCTCACTGTTTCTCGCTCTATGATGAAAGAATAATGAAATTTTTATATTCAATAAAAAAAAGATACCCAATTTAGTTTCATGAATAAAAACATATAGTTACTGCTTACAGAGTCTACAAGAGTCTCTCTTTATTTTGCTACCAACTCGAAAAGTTTATACAATCGCCATCAATTCTATTTTATGCCATGTCCTAAGACAATTTAAGCCCAACTGACAAGCTGTTAATTCCAAATGTTGCTGCCTAATCCTTTCGACAATCGAAAGCCAAAACGTTGGAGCATTTGTGAGCCATGCTCAACGCATTTCCCGACATTCCCACCAAGCCATAGACCGTCAAATGTCATTTTTCACTTAATTTGGCACATTAATATTTAATTGTGTGTATGTTTGTGTGTGCGTGTGTGTGTGTTTGTGGCAAGCCAATTCTGGGCACGTCCCGTGAGCAGCCTTTGCCAGCTGCCAACAGCTGCTGCCAGACTTTGAAGTGCGTCTCCTAGTCTGCCCATTGTGTCGTATTCCCGCTGCTGCCTTTCACTATCAACTGACATTGACAAGTTGTGTGACGACGCTGCCGCGGACTACACGGAGCACACGCTTCCTTCTTCCGCTTTGTTTCGCACTCCTCACAAATTGCACGTGTACGTGGCTTCTGCATAACCACAAAATGTTGAGTCATGCTGCCCACCCACTCACTCGCTGTCGTTGCCATTCAGTGTTTTTCTCCTTTGAGTAAGGCAAAAACCGAAATCCTGTCACCAATGTCAGAGACATTTGCTCCATGGTGAGCAGCACAGCAGCAGGACAGGATTCTGGTGGTTGGTTTCCAGTTTCCAGTTGACTTTTGCATGTTTTGCACGGATCGATACCAAAGAGAGCGGCAACAGAGGCCGAGAGAGAGAGAGAGAGAGACAGTGTGTGAGAGAGAGCGAGAGAGAGCAAGTTAAGGATTGGGTCGCTCTCCTTTGCTCTGTTGCGTCTGTAAAACAAAACGAAATGTGCACATGTGATATGCCCTCTCCAATAGTGGAACAGAGGACGCTATCCTTGCCATCCTCGAGTGCTGCGACTGCTGCTCGCTGCCGTTGTTCTTGTTGTCCTTTTGCCAGCCTATTTAATAATTGTGCATTCAGTAAACGTGGCCTGGTATTTGAGAATTTGACGCCCCCCAAAATAGCAATCAACGTTAAATCTCTATAATTTTCGTTGAATTAATTTATTCAATTTAGCCTGCCATGCATAAATGTGGCTCATTAAACTGCCATATAAAAGCAAAGTTACATATTTGTCACAAATAACAGTTGACTCCATGGATTAAATTAAATTAATTTATATACTTCATTAAATTTTTGCTGGACTTAATAGAAACTTGAAATTCGTTTCCCTTGTTCCCATTTGTCGCCTAAGCATTTCATTTTTTTATTTATGCAGGTAATAGAAATCTTCTATTTGAAGGAAATAAACTTTGTTATATCTAATATTAAACAGTTCTTAAGAAAATTTCAAGTTTGTATATTTGTTTCAAGATGCTGTCAAAAAGTGTTTTTTTTTTCCAGATTTTCCGTTGAAGAGATATATTTTCTTTCAATTTTTAATTTCAAAATAAATATTTAAATTTAAGATTAA